CGGGGGGGGGGGGGGATGAGGTGAAACGCTCAGTTACTAAGTGGTCACGGGTGTTCTCTGCCACAGAACATACACCATCATTCAATAATAGAAAACAAACAATCGAATTAACAAAGGCACTTTAATATTTACATTGGCAGGAAAAAATAATATAACACTTATTGTTACTGTTGATGAATTCAGCTGCTTTTTTACGGGATTAAAAGAATCTTTGGAATTATTTATGGTATGCTCCAGGGCCATATTCGATCGTTGGTTGTCCTTGCGTCATTTGACCAGGCCGAAAGGGCGAGGCCACAGGCGGATACTGTGATTGGTTCAGAGCTTCGTTGTATGACGGTGGTGGATACATCGGTGGATACGGTGGTGGATAAGCTGGGTTCGACAACGGTGGTGGTAAGGGTGCGTTCGAAGTGCTGGTAGCAGTAACTTGTATAGGTGCTCTCTGAGTCGTATGCACCACTGAAAGTGAAAAGTATTACCATGAATTAAAAGATATGCCACAAGCTAATTATGTGGACCAGATTTTGGCCCAACATGTCATTGTCAGACTAAGCTCATGGTCAATATATATATTGTCGATGGCCCAACCATTCGCTCGGAAGATTAGGCTCAAGGTCAAGATGAAACTGCTACAGCATAGGATATACATGTAGCTTAAATTGAGCTTTTAAGCTAGCATCCCTAGATCCTTTTGCTGTTATGGAAACTTACCAGATATTCGATTTTTGTATCTCATTTGGGCTTTATAAATAGACAGAGCCAACATGACCAAGGTAACTGCACCAATGACGACCCAAACTATGTACCAAAGAGGAAAATCTGAAACAAAAATATAGTTTGGTGACCTTACCTTAGCTTAGTCTAGGTATTAGGGGCTTTGATCGTCCAAAATTCCACACATGCCACACCATGTTTCGACTTTCAACTTAAACTGATAACCTTGCGGATAACTCGACGGGTGATTTATAAGATAACTTAACAGGTAAGTTAACAAAATATCTTACCGGATAAATTGACGGCGAACTTGGTGAATAACTTGGCGAATAACTTAACAGATAATTTGATGGCTAACTTAACAAATAACTTTAAAAATAACTTGAGGATAATTTGAGGATAACTTGAGGATAACTTGAGGATAACTTGACGGATAACTGACAAAAAATTTGACAGAGAACTTGGTAGATAACTTGACGGATAACTTACATGCCATTGTTGATCGTTATTTGAAATCGCCCTCAGAATGTCCTGTATCGATCTACTACCGATATCCAAGAAAACGTCCTAACTGCAGATAAATCGATTCTTTAAAATTCTCTTCGCCGTATCCAATTTTCAATTTGAGAGTCGTTCAATATCCGAGGTGTTTGGCTTAAAAAATATAACAGTAGCCTATCGGGTAACTATGGACGAAACGGTTGATTGGGCTTTAAAACTAATCGACGTAATTGATTGCATCGATTAATCTCATAATCCACCCTAATTAGGTTAATCCGCATTTGACCCTTACATAACACCATGTAAGGTATATACTACTGAAAGACTATGGAAACAAAAAGTACGTCGATATAAACACATGCCACGCTGTCATCAACGTTACATGCTACCATTGTCAGAGCATGCTTTCATTGATGCTGCATTGGATGCTTTCTTTGGATGGTTCATGCTTCCTTTGGTAGATTCATGCTTTCTTTGCCTGGGTATGCTTTCATTGTTTGGTCCATTCTTCAATTAGGTTCATGCTTTCTTGGTAGGTTCAGGCTTTCATTGACATATTTATGCTTCCTTTAGTAGGGGATGCTTTGTTGGATGTTTCATGCTTTCATTGATAGTATATGCTTTCACTGTCAGGGCATGCTTTCGAGAATCCTCCACGTGTTGGTTCATATCAGGCTATTTGAAAGGGAACTATTGTAACTTTCCCTTATAGATATAAATATTAATCCCCAGGTTTCTATTATGATCACATAATAGTGCGTAATAATCAAAATATCGTTTCTATTCAAACGCCTGGTCGTGCATTAATGTGACGGTGAGTGGAAAATGCCCAAGTATCGAAATCGAATGACCCCCGACCTCCCCTTAAAGCTCTGTAAGAATTAAACGACGAAAGCAAACTTTAAACGCGCATCAAGGTGTATGCTAAGAGAAATTGCACATTATGTCGAGATCATCTAAAGTTAATGTATGTATGTACATGTATAGCAAAGGAGAAATAGGGCATCATGCGTACAGTAGGGCTTTTCAGACCAAAACTGATTAATGTATGACAAAATATACTCTTATATTCAGTACCCCCTTTTTTATTTCTTAAACTGAGCGTACATATAACATAATTTTCTCCATATCCTTAATAGAAGTATTGACTCAAAAGGTGGTGAATGAAAAACGCGAGAAAGTGGAGTAAAATTCCCAAAAATTGGTTCTGAATTGCAGAAAATTTGTACAATTCGCCCTAAAGAGCACATGTAGGTGAAACCAAAAGCTGAAAACTAATGTGTCAAAAGGATATAGTGTCTATAGAAGGAAGTGCTGAGTTAGTGAAAAGAAAATGGCTCGTTGGCAACTTCGGTACATTTAGGTACGTACGCTTTGATATCCAGTACGCAAAAGGAATACCACCCTTGACGTGATCTCTATTCTGCATACCGTAAC